ACTTAGGCTTAAGCGAAGACTATATCTTTAGTACCTCGAATAGATCCCCTTTATCTATATTAGCGTCTAGATAGTTAGCAAGCTCGTTACCCTTACGAGTACTACGTCGTTAAGTTTAAGAAGACTCTGTACTCCTACTAAGAGTAAAGTCGATCTAGCCCTTATACCGACTACTTCTACTATATAACTCGTAGGTAGAAGTGCTCGATAATAGACGATAGCTCTTCTCCTACTCTATTCTTAGCTTACCCTCGTAATACTCGTAGTAGCTTTTATCCCCGAAGTTATCGCGTACCTAGAACTTCCGCTTAAGGCAGAGGGTAAGGAGGATACTAATACTATAGTAATCGCCAAATCGATCCTAGGTATCTCGATAATATTTCTTAAGCTTAGCCTAAGCAGCCTCGTATACCTAATATATATCCTTCTTCTAAGGTATCCTCTTATTCTTAAGTCGCTTTATCGCCTCCTCTAGAATATCGAAAAGCTAGTTGTAGTATACGAGGATAAGGTAGATAGTCGGACCTTTCGTTGTTCCGATCGTTGCTATCGCCGCTACGAATAGTTTCGTAAGGTCGATAAGGTACTTAACCCTTTGCTACTCTTCGGAATCGATACCTATATCTTTACTTAGGTCGAGTCGATCGATATAAGATTCGATAACTCTTTGTAGTCTACTAAAGCGATCGAGTATTAACGTTATTAAGGACTACCTTGTCTTTACGTCTTGAACGACCCTTAGGATCCGATCTTAAACGCTATTCTACCGACGGTACTTTACAAATAGCTCCTTCTTTTAAAGCATCTCTTTCTATAGGTCGATAAACTGCTCGAACCTTTAAGAGCTCGAGTTAATAAAGACGCAAAGTTTCCGGATCTAGGGATCGAAATTAGTAAAGGGAATCTCGAGTACCGACTATAATTGCCGACTACGAGAGCCGACTATACTTTAGAAATAGGAAGGTTAATAGGCGATAGGCTATAGAGACTAATCTTACCTTTAGAAGGAGGTAAGGTATACTATTAGCTTAAGGGCGGCTAATCTGCTTACTCTGTTTTCTCTTCCTCTATAATATCTACCGATCTTTCTCGTAATCCTAGTATTCGGAAAGGTCGTTAGTCGGACAGAGCCCTAGGCGGTCGAAAAAGGCCTTTAAGGGAAGCTAGGCAGTATATATAAAGTAGGGAAATCGCTCGGGACGGCTAGCTTAAGTATACTCCGCGATTGCCTCCTCCTTATCCTCTCCTATCTCCGAGTCGGGACTGCTCTCCGTACCTTCCTCTAAGCTCGTTGCTAGCCTCCTAGCCGTTATACCGTACCTCTCTTAACAAGTATCAATCGCTAAAACACTATAGAATATTAGAAGGAAGTAGGAAGAGTAAAGCAAGTAGTCTTATATCGTATTGTATAGGGTCTTATTATTCGAGGTATTGTCGTACGTAATTGTAGTTAATCGGTACTTAATCTCGAACTCTTGTAAGATTTCGAATAGTATCTCTATTAGGCCTCGTCATAGGTTAGGTTAGGTATAGGTTGGGTACAACCCAACGTTAATACCCAACCCCGCAAATAAGGTAGGTACCTAGCTTATAAGCTAGGTACAACCCAACGGAAAAAACCCAATAGGTATACCCAATAGGTATTGCGATAGGTATTACGTAAAACCTCTTCTAGATATAGAATAAACATAGTAAGCGCTTCTAGAACAGTAATAAGCCTCGTATATACCGTACTGCCTGAACTCGCTAACAATAGCTGCCGACCATGCCTGCCGACTACGAGAATTAGGAAAAAGCAAATTAATTCAGGAGTTTACGGTAAGTACTTCGACATCTCCTTCTATAGCTAATAATACCTGCCGACCATACCTGCCGACCACGAAAATTAGAAAAACCAAATCACTTCAGATCTTAGGCTTATAGTAAATGCTTCAACATCTCCTTCTCTAGCCTAGCTAGAACGCGCATCTAGTATTTAAACCGACTTTCGGTTACTATATGCTGCTGCCTTACTCTCTAGGCCTTACGTATCTCTATTCTTCGCTAGGCCGCTTGGAAAGCCGGCTCCGTCCTTATTAATAATAGGGTCCTTAAACAAGTAGCTCCAAGGATAAAGCGAGCTGAAATTTCTGTCTCTAGTCTGTCTCGTTCGGTAATAGGCTCTTCTACAAGTATACTTAGTATCTTGTCGATACTTCCCCTAGCTACGAATTCTTACGTACCCCGATTATTCGCTTGATCTATAGCTACCGTATACGCTGCCCTTGCTATATCCTCTAATTCTGTTATCTCCTCGTCAAACTCCTACTACGACTCCTCTTCTTTATCCTCTCTCTCTATATCTGGTCGACTCTCCTAGAGAGAATTAGGACCCGTCTCCTCCAAATCTGGATAATCGAAAGGATTGTAGTCTTAGCTAAGCGAGATATCTTGATCCTAGGTACCTATATCCTCGTCGCTATACTGAAAATCTGCTTGACTGAGCGGTATACCTAGTTGCCTAAAAGGAAAAT